GTAGGGTGTCCCGGTGGGGTGAGGGGCTCCATAGGGGGGCCTTGGTGGAGTGAGGGGCCCTATAGGGGTCTTTGATGGGGTGGGGGGCCCTATAGGGGTCCCTAATGAGGTGAGGGGCCCTATAGGGGGTCCTGGTGCGGTGGGGGGCCCTATAGGGGTCCCTGATGGGGTGAGGGACCCTATAGGAGTCCCTGATGAGGTGAGGGGCCCTATAGGGGGTCCTGGTGCAGCGGGGGGCCCTATAGGGGTCCCTGATGGGGTGAGGGACCCTATAGGAGTCCCTAATGAGGTGAGGGGCCCTATAGGGGGTCCTGGTGCAGTGGGGGGCCCTATAGGGGGTCCCCATGGGGTAAGGGGCTCCACAGGGGGGCCTTGGTGGAGAGAGAGGCCCTATAGGGGGTTCCTGACGGGGTGAGGGACCCTATAGGGGGTCCCGGTGGAGTGCAGGACTCCTTAAGGGGCCTCTGATGAGGTGAGGGGCCCTATAGGAGATCTCAGTGTGGTGGGGGGCCCTATAGGGGTYCCTAATGAGGTGAGGRGCCCTATAGGGGGTCCTGGCAGGGTGAGGGGCCCTATAGGACCCTCGATGGAGGCCCTTGGTGGGGAGCCCTGTGGGGGGCAGGGGCTGGCTCTGTAGGGGGGGCTGTGGGGGTGAGGGGCTCCATAGGACTCTGGAGAGAAGTTCCGGGTGGGGTGGGGAGCCCTATAGGGGTGCTGGTTGTGTGAGGAGCGCCAAGGAGGGGGGCTGGGGGGTGAGGAGCCCTATGGGGAGCCCGTTGGTGGGGTGAGGAGCCCCTATAGAGCAGTGAGGGGCCCCATAGAGCGGCTCCCCTTGCAGTGAGGGATCTTGGGGGGCTAGGAACCCCTATAGTGGGGTGTCTATAGGGATGCCTRTAGGGGTGAGGAGTCTTATAGATAGATTCCTGTTGTAGTGAGGGGCCTGGGACTCTAGGAGCCCCTATAGCCAAGTGCCTGGGGGAGTGAGGAGCCCCTATAGCAGGGTGCTTAGAGGGAAGAGGAGCGCCTATAGAGCGGCTCCTGTTGGAGTCAGGAGCCTGGGGTGCTAGGAGCCCCTATAGCAGGGTGCCTATAGGGGTGAGGAGCCCCAAGAGGGGTGCTGGGGGCGGGAGCCTGGAGGGGGTCACAGGGGGGTGGGACAGCCCTGCCGTGGCGGGGTGCAGTGCCATGCAGTGCAGTGCCATGCAGTGCTGTTCAGCGCAGGAGGAGGGTGCCGTGCAGTGCCATGCAGCGGGGGGTGCCATGCAGTGCCGTGCAGCTTGGAACGCCGCGGGACCGGCCGCTGCGAGAGCCCCCGCTGGGCATCGCTGCCAGCCCTTCCTGCCGCAGCCGGGGTGCCCCATCCCGTCCCCGGGGGGCTGTCCTGCACGAGCCCTTCGGCCGGGGTGCCCCATCCCGTCCCCCCGGTGGTTGGGGTTGGCAGGGACCTCTAGGGATCATCCAGTGCAGCCCCTACTCCAGTTGGGAAGCCCGGGGCACCCGGTGCCATCCAAGCGGKTTGGGAAGATCTGCAGAGCAGGAGCCTCCTGTGCCAGGGCTCCGGCCGGTGGGAAGGGGCTCCCGGCAGCCCCGCGGAGCAGCTCCCGGTGTCACCTCCCCGCTGGCCTGGCCCGAGCTGCTGCTTTGGGGCAGCCCTCGTGGCCTCGTGCGCATTGTGGCTGCAGCAGCTCCCGGCGGGAAAACGAGGTGGGAAAGCTAAGCTGGCATCAGTAAGGAAGGGCTTAGTGGCCTTGCCTGGGTGCTCCCCGTGTGCTCGGCCTTGCCATAGTGGAATTCCCGTGTTGTGGAATCGCTTGCTCTCCCGGGTGGCTCCCTGGGCTCAGGCTGGGCTCTGTCCACGTTGGTTTTCCTTAACGTTTTTCCCTCCAGAATGCCCTTCTTCCAGTGGAAAGCCCAATCACGCAGATATCCTGCTCGTAAACTTACAGTATGTTTCAGAAGTGGAAATAATTAACGACCGCACGGAAACCCCTCCTCCTTTAGCTTCACTCAACGTTAGCAAGGTAAGAGCTTCGCTGGCCTCGGCACGCGTCTCCCTGGGGACACGGGGACCTGGTGCTGAACCTGGGGGTTCAGCCCAGCACCGACGTCCCAGGAGAGGGAGAGGAGACCTCGGGGTGACGCGGACACAACGGAGCGCCCGGCTGTGCCGGGGCGCATTGAGGCCTGGGGTATTTGCTGCCGGGTTGTCCCCGGCGCGTTGCAGCGTCCCCAGGTCATTGCAGCGTCCCCGGCACGTTGCAGCATCCCTGGTTTTCCGTCCCYGCGCGGGCTCTGTGCTCTCCTGCCTGGGCACGTGTGCCAGTTGCTGCCCTCGGCCGCGCGRGGCTCCTGTTCGGCACCAGGTTCTGAGCCCCGAGCAAAGGCTCCCGTGCACCCCATATCCCAGCCCTGCTTGGGGACCCTGCGTCCCAGCCCCGCTCGGGGGCTCCTGCCCCACATCCCTGCCCTGGGGGGCTCTGGCCCTGCCCTCCTCGCCCCACRCGCCGCCTCCTCGCGCGGGCGGGTGAGTCGCTGCCCTTTGGACGCGACTGTGCCCTGCGTTTTCTGCTTGGGCCCCTCTGGGGTGCTGTGGGTGCTGCTGGGGCTGCTCGGCCCCTTTACACCCCGGCAGATCCCGCTGGTCTCGGTCCTCCCAGCTCCCAGAGCGCCCTGCTGCTCCGTGCTCCCATGGGAATGCAGAGCCTTTGCACGGAAATGCAACAGGTTCCTCCCGTGACAGCAAATGATGCAGAGGCTGCAGGCCAGCCTGGCGTGAGAGACGGGCGGTGCCAAAGCGCATCCCCTCGGGAGACCTCCCGCATCCCAGCGTGTGGCCAGGGGCGCTCCCGAGGGACCGCGGTGCGCGCTCCTCAACCGGAGCGCCGACGAGGCCGCGCTGGGCCAGCGCTTCGCGCCCGGGAACGCGCATCCGCGTGGGCGCAGGCGGCCGCACCGGAGCACGCGCGGTCGGCTCGGCTTCCGAGGAGGCGCCTGTGGAAACGGGCGTGCTTCCTGATCCCGGCGGTTGTGGGGCGAGCCTGAGCGCTGGGCAGCTCCGGAGAGTGGGAATATCCATGCTGTGTTCCGTTCCGGCTCCCATCCCGTGGGAGCCCGGCGCTGGCGGAGGTGCCCGGGCGCAGCGGCTCCCGCTCCCGCGTTGTCGCGGAGCTGCCGTGGGTTCCGGGGCCGGGTTGTGAAGGCGCCGCCGTTGTGACCCCTTGAGCTCCACGTGCCGCTGCCTCCAGGCGCTTCCCGTGGTTCCTGCAGCCCCGGAGCCTTGGCGGCGGCTCCGGCGCGGGGATCCCGCCCGATCCGCACCCTTGGGCAGTGCTGAGTGGTGAGACACCGGGATACACGGAGCTGATGGAGTGGAGGGCTCTCARCACCGGGAATGTACCCGGACCGCCCCCGTGCAGCCCTGCTCCTGCTGCTCGCGCGGCCCTTCCCAGACGGAAAGTAAGGCCAGGCCTGGGAACATCCCCGCTTCTGGAAGAGCCTGGCCCATCCGGGTGGGAGCCGGAGCCGTTGCGTGTGGAAGGGGTGCGGGGGAAACATCCCTGCTTCTGGAAGCGCCTGGCCCATGCGGGGGGCAGTCGGAGCCATCGCGCGCAGAAGGGGCGCAGGGGGAATGCGGGCTGCGGGTATCCGTCCAAGGCGACTCCGGAGCACGGAGCCGGGAAGCAGGCGGGGACGGAGGAGAGTCACCAGGATGGAGGCCACGGGGGAGCAAAGGGCCGGGGTGGAGGGAAGCGCTGGGGCTCTCGCGGAGCGGCGCCCGGAGCACGCGGGAAACGGGAAGCTGGAGCACGAGGGTGGCGGAGCCGTGCGGAGCGCTGCCGGGAGCAGCGGCCCCACRGGAGCAGCGCGAGGAGCCCGAGGGAGAGGAGGGCTGCGCCGGGCCGGCCGCAGCGTGTTCCGGCCTGGCGCCGGAGCCRGCCGCTCGCTCCAGCCCCGCCGTGTCATTCCCGCAGTCGGGAATGGGCAAGGGGCTCGTCCACAAGGTGCAGGATGCCAGGGAGGCTGCTCCGAGCGCGGGGGCCGGGAGCGGAGGCTCCTTCTGTCCCCAAGCCGAGCTGCTGGGAAGGGGCAGAGCGGCGCCTGCTCCGTGTGCAGGGCTGGGCTGCAGGGAGCCTCCTGGCGGGAATGTCCTCCCCGGAGGACGTGGGGAACAGGCTGCTCCCGGCGCTCCCAAGGGCACCCGAGGGGCGCCCCGGGGGCACCCCTGGCTCCTGGGCACACCGGGGGGACGCTGCGTTTTGGGGGGCTTGGGAGCGCGCGGGCGGCTGCTCCCTGTGCCCGTGCGGGGCTGTTCCCGGCGGGAAGCTCCGGATTCCGCCGCAGGGAGTGGGGGTGGGGGGGAGGTTCCCCTCCACACGCTGCGATGACGGGAGCACCGGATGGAGCTTCCCACCCGGGYGCCCCGGAGCGACCCCTTTGTGGCCCTTGCCGAGCGGCTGCTCCGCTTTCTTTGGAAGCGGTAACAGTGCCGGGGGGACAATGCAGGAACCGCTGTCCCCCCCGGAACCCCCCCACTCCCCAAAAGACCCTTCCAGGGGGCACAGACGGGGAAGGGGGGACTTGAGCGGGTCAACACGGGGCTTGAAGGCACCCCGAAGTTCCCCCCGTGCTGCAGGGAGGAGCTGGGGGTGCCCGCCGTGCCCTCGGCGCCCAGCGCCCTCTCCCGCCTCCCTTCCAGCTGGCCAACAAAGCGCGGACGGAGAAGGAAGAGAAGCTGAGCCAGGCGTATGCAATTAGTGCTGGTGTCTCCCTGGAAGGACAGCAGCTCTTCCAGACTATACATAAGACGTAAGTGTCCCCCGCCGGTCACCTGCACTGCTCCGATCCCTCCGATCCCTTCTCCATGGCTTCCTGGGAACGGGAGCCGGCAGGAGCTCCCGGGAAGCGTGTCCGTGTGCGGCGGCTCTCGCTGCTGCCAGGCTCCCGCTTCCCGCCGGAGGGGATCCCGTGGGATGGGGAGCCGGGGACAAGGGGGCTCCGCCGCTCACCCCGCTTCCCTCCTGCTCCTCCCCGCAGCATCAAAGACTGTAAATGGCAGGAGAAGAACATAGTCGTGATGGAAGAAGTTGTTATTGCCCCTCCGTACCAGGTGGAGAACTGTAAAGGCAAAGAGGGGAGCGCGCTGAGTCACGTACGCAAAATAGTGAGTACGGCCGGGGCGGGCGGGGGGCCGCGCGCCCGTGTCCCCCCCAACTCACCCCCTCTCTCCGCCYGCCCGTTCCGTAGGTCGAGAAACATTTTAGAGATGTGGAAAGCCAAAAGGTAATGCAGCGTTCACAAGCACAGCAAACACAGAAGGAGAGCTCCCTGTCGTCCTGAGTGCGGCCGCCCGCCGGCCGGCACGTCGCCTCCTCCAGCCGCCGCCGGGCCGGGGGGGGCAGCGCGGGGGGGCCGTTTTATTTCCTCTCGGGCTCGTTCACGGGGAGCTCACCGATTCCAAACCTTAGACTTTAAAACAAGCGAGAAAAAAAAAAAAAAAGAGAATAATTTAAAAGCTCATGCATTACTTGACTAACAGACTTTCTTTTGTCCGCCATGTTTTCTTTCCTACGAGCCAGTCAGATTTTGTTAGTTTCATTTTTTGACCTTTCTTCCCTTTTCTCTCCCCCTTCCTCCATCCGAGAGCCCCCCTCTTTACTTTTCTAAAGGGGGGGTGTCGCCCCGTCCCGCCCCCGTCCCCCTTCTCTCCCTGTCTGTAACATAGGAGAATCTCTCCCTCGCCCTTCCTCATCCTCCCGCCCCAAAAAATCCTCCAAAAAATTAAACTAACAAGCTGACTGAGGGAGCTGAATCGGGACCCCGGCGACCAGCGTGGTCTCGTTTTAATTTTGTTTGCACAGGGCAAGGCTTGAATTAGTCTTATTTTTCTTATCTTTAAATATATATATGAATATATATTAAAATGTTCTTTAAATATTTCCTGCTTCTAGCAGTTCTCTTGACCAGGATCATGGCAAAAAAACCCCGATTCCCCCCCAATCCCGTCGGCCCTCGACCCCCCCCAGGGGWTTTATTACCCCCCCTATTCCCCGGGATGGGGTCTGCAGTGGGGGGGTGACAAGGGGGCATTGGGGCTCCCCCCAAGCCCCCCTCGGTGGGGCCGGTGGCCACGGCTCCGGGGGCCCAAGTGCTGGGGGGGGGCAGCCCCCGTCACCCTGGGGCGTCACCGGGACCCCCGGGGGGCAGGAGCAGAACAAGGGCCTCTTATTTCCCCTTTTGCTTTTTATTTTTCTTATTTTTTTT